CACACACACACACACACACACACACACACACACACACACACACACACACACACACACACACACCCTATGAGATAGCATTGGTTGTTCTCTGGGGGTGGATTGTTAGGTTTTCATTTTTCTTTGTTCCCTTTTCTTGGATAAAATGGAGGGGAGGGGGAAATCTCCCATCCTGGGGGTGGGAGTTGGGGGAGTTTCTTTCTGACTGTTGGAAAAAGAGAAAGCAGGAATTGTGGTGGGACAATTAGGAGCTCATCAAAGCCTCATCTTGCTCATCAGCCATCTCGGCCCTCAGACTGCACCCCCGCACAGTCCTCCTCTAATTCAATGCTGCCTAATGAATAATTCCCAGGAACAAAAGCCCCTTTCAGGCTGCTGCATGTAATTATTAGAGGAGACTTCAGGCTCACTGTGGCTGGCTCCTCCAGGTTTCAGGACTGTCTCTAAATTTGGTTATTCACAACCTTTAGAGCTCAATGTTATTGCCTAACTGTGATCATTTTCTAATTATCCTAATAATACCTATTAAATAATTCCCATTAAATCACTTGAACCGGTGCAGCACAGGCCAGCTCAAATACAACTTAATCTAATAAGCACCGGTCATTCATTAAGCAGCCAGGCCATCTCTTAAAGGAACTGGATAGACTATTGAACCAGCTAGGAGCGCTGTTACTGCACAAATGCTATGATGAGGGAGGCAGTCTTCATTTGGAGGACCTGCCTCCTGAATCTTCCATTTGCTTCCCTTGGAGGCTACACTGCATGACTTATCTGTCTGCATCTTCAGTCGCCTTGTCTATTTGCATCTGTCACCCCACCCCCACAAGAACATTCAAGAAGAAAGAGGCCATAAACTTAACAAAGAAATTAAGTTACCAAGGATACAAAGGGAATGAAAGGAATCCATCTTCTGGCTAGTTCAGCCCACCTTTGAAAAGATGGCCAGCTGGACCGACTTTCTCTCTCTGTCTCTGTCTGTCTGTCTCTCTCTTTGTGCTGATGCTGGGCTTGAATTCAAGGCCTTGTGTTTTGACTTACCTGACTGGCACTCTACCATTTGAGCCATGCCTCTATGGGCAGATTTTATTAGGTATGACTCAACATAATTTTCTTCTTCTTCTTTATTTTTAAATATCTTTGACAATGAGAGACATTTTCACAAGCTTTAAATATCTGACATTTATATTTTAAATTTCAAGCAATAAAGAGACAGATATTTCTTTTCTTTCTTTCTTTTTTGGTCAGTTGTGGAGCTTGAACCCAGGGCCTGGGTGCTGTCTCTGAGCTAGAATGCTGCTCAAGGCTAGCACTCTACCATTTTAGCCATAGTGCCACTTCCAGTTTTCTGGTGTACTGGAGATAAGTATCTCATGAACTTTCCTGCTTGGGCTAGCTTCAAACCGTGATCCTCCAGTCTCAGCCTCCTGAGTAGTTAGGATTATAGGAGTAAGGTATCGGCGCCTGGCCAATACATCTGTATTTCTTTAATAGTGTCTTGTGTGTAAACTTAACTTTTGTAAAATAATAGTAGGTAGAATTCATTAAATGACTACATGTGGTAGAGACTGGTAAATACTTTTCTCACCAACACTCTAATTCTCAACAAGAATGTAGGGATTACTATTTCTGTTCCTCAGATAAGGCATCTGAGAGGTTAAGCTTTTTTCCTAGAGCTACCCAACCTCAATAGAGTGAAACAGTTTTAAACACAGGGCTCTTTGGCCATCTGTCAAAGTCCACTTTTCCCACATTGACATGTGTTGGTAAGGACAAAGTGCAAGTCTATGTAGCTTCTGAGAGGCATCCTTTCTATTGGATATATCTCACTGCAATCAAGAGATTCCTAATGATATTACCAAACATCAAACAAGAACAGTTTATACTACATTGCCAAAAGTACCATCATAGTTGGAGAGATGGGCTGTATAACTCTTAGCTTAGACAGCATCATCAGTTTTGTAACAAGCCTACTTCTTTGTGGTGTGTGTGTGTGTGTGTGTGTGTGTGTGTGTGTGTGTGTGTGTGTGTGTGTGTGTGCTTGAACTCAGGGCCTGGGATCTGTCCCTGAGCTTCTTTTACTCAAGGTTAGTACTCTCTCTAGCACTTCAACCACAGCTCCATTTCTGGTTTTTTGGTGTTTAATTGGAGATGAGAGGTTCACAGACTTTTCTGTCAAGGCTAGCTTTGAACAGTGATCCTCAGATCTCAGTCTTTTGAGTTGCTAGGATTACAGGTATGAGCCACTGGCACCTGGCACAAGCCTATTTCAGATGAACAAATACAGGAAAGATGTCCAGCGTGTTTAAATAAGAAGAACACATACTGATTAATCAAGCACTCCAGGCCTACCACTTGGTTCAGCTAGTCTTACCATGTATGAACATTGCTCCCAATCCACAAATAAACTGAGGTGTAAAGAGGGAAAGTCTGCCTGTAGCGAGGTAGTGACAAATGAGCCTGCAGCTCTGGAGCTGAAACCTCTAGTTCTCATTTGCCAGCTCTTGTGAGGTTGTGGAAGTGTTTCCTACACTTCTGTACTTATGACTGTGTGAAATTCATGGCCTTCGCTAGCATCATTCTCGAATGACAGACATGAGCCACTAGAGCCCTTGGCTTAACCATAGTTTTAATGCAATCCTTATATAAGTTCTCTATGGTATAAAACTACATTTCGGATGAGAAAATGAAAGTTTATAAGTTTTCTTCCCTAAAATAACCTGACTGGCCCAAAGTCATACAGACTCTAACTTTCCATAGTGGCTCATTCCCTACATTGCCTGAACACTCAAATGTTTCTCTGAGCTACAAAGAAACGTTGCTGCAGGCCAGGAGAGAGGCTGGGCTTTCCAGCAGTCCATTACCTGGCCGGGAGGCTGACCAATGCCCTGAGGAGTTTCATATTGAGGTTTACTCTATGAAGCCAGAAGGACACGGCACCTCATGTCCATGTTGGCAGATCCTCTGAGGGTGACAAGATGCCTTTGTTTTGCCCTGGTGATAGGATAGCATGTCCTCAGACTGTGGACATGGACCCATGCCTGCTGCTCAGACCTCCGGGCATGCCATACCTGCTTCTCCTCGCAGTGCCTTCTCCAGCCTCACACCCTGGATCTCTGAAGCCCTCTGCCGCTCCTCCACTTCCTCCAGCTGTCTCTGGATGGCCTGCAATACCAAGATCACACATCACAGAGGGACTCAGGACACATGGAACCACATCAAGGGCAGGTTCTTCCATTGACCCTCCAGGAAAAAGAAGTGCTGTCGCTAGTGGTGCTCTGATATCTGGATGGGGTCATCTCAGTTCCAACACTAGATCTTGATGCTCCTGCCATTAGAATGAAATATAAACAAGACATATGGGCTGGGCACTGGTGGCTCATGCCTGTAATCCTAGCTACTCAGGAGGCTGAGATTATGGTTCAAAGCCAGCCCGGGCAGGAAAGTCCATGAAACTCTTATCTCCAATAAACCACCAGAAAACTGGAAGTGGCACTATGGCTCAACTGATAGAGTGCTAGCCTTGATCTGAAGAGGTGAGGGACAGTGTCCAGGCCCAGAGTTCAAGGCCTACAACCAAAGACATATGGCTGTAATCCTAGCTACTCAAATTTGAAGTTCAAAGTCAGCACAGGCAGAAATTCCATGAAACCAGAAGTATATGGCTCAGGGGTAGAGTGTTTAGTTTTGAGCAAAAAAGTTAGGGGACAGTGCCTAGCCCCCAATTTCAAGCCATACTAGTGGCACAAAACAAAAAAAAGACAAGGTATCTATGAACATGTTCAATCCATCCCAAGCAGACATGCAAACAATGTCCTCTGACAAGGCGGATAGCAGCAGAGGCTAGGTGGGTGGTCATTATGGTTTCTGGACTCCTTAGGGCCCATAGCCTTGGACTATGGTTATGGATCAGTGACTGGGTCTTTAGCCAGTCCTCAGAGTAGAGGACAGACTTGGGGAAAGCACAGTATTCTCCTATTCTGTTTCCCAGAAGCAGTAGTAGTAACCTCCTGAGAAGGCAGTGTCATGGGAGACCTGGGTCAGCTCCTGGGGGCTTGTGTGCTCCCTTTTCAGATTGTTCTGCTCTTCTCCTTTGCTCCCCATGGGTGGATTCTTTCCTTGTGCATTCAGCTGATGCCCAGAGTGCTATCAGTGTAGGCTTTGTCACCAGCAGGCTATGATGACAAGATACCAGATGTTTGACCTACTAAAGGATGCTATATGCTCCTTAGCACTTGTTAAGTTTGGGTGTGCAGATATATTTATTTTCCTCACTAGCTATTACTCTTTTATGTATCATGTAATTATGTGTTAGGAAGAAGAGTGGAGGGGGGAGGAAGGTGTGGCAGAAGTATTTCTAATATAAGTTTTTCTCATTTCTGGCAACTTTCTCTGTTCTCAAACACCAGGCTGTCAAAAGGCTGTTCTATTCTTTGGTGAAAGAGACTTTGCACCTGGCAGGACAGATTTATTAAAGGAACCATTAGCTACCTGAGCAGGCGGAATATCTGTGTGCCCCAGCTCTACTGTATTTCAACTCTGCCTCATTTCCCTTCCTTTGGAACCCCATATTTTCACAGCCTGGATTCACAGGGACAGTAGCAGAGGCATGAGGAGTCCCAAGCACCCATGTGGCTTTTCTCATCTCAGCTGTATTTAAACCCCAAACATAACATCTAAACTAAATGAGAAGTCTACTTATAAATTATAATGCCCTCTTCCTCTCTGTCTCTTCTAAAGACAATTGTATCATAATAAATCCATCCCTTTCTGAGATGGTGTAGAAAGGAAGAGAAGGGAGAGGCTTACATGACTTCATTACTGATTATGCAGTTGCAGCAATAAGGTGACAATAGACTAAATTATGTTGTTACTTCTCTCCTTCCCCCCCCCCCCCAATTGATAGGTTGGGGCCCTAACTACCATTGTGACTATATTAGGAGATGGGGTCTCTAAGGAGATCAGTAAGATTAAACAAGGTCATAGGGTGGGGCCTTGTTCTCATAGGTCTCTAAATAAGAACAAGGAGAAGAAGGAGAAGATGTCAAAGAGCTACATGAAAACTATGTGGGGACTGAGTGAGAGGGCAGCTGTTTCCAAGCCAGGAAGAGAAGGATCCCTGCAGATAACAAGCTCAATAGCACTTTGATCTTGGTCTCTTTAACCCCAAGAACTGTGTGAAAATAAGTATCTGTTGTTTAAGCCATCAGATCTGTGGCATTTTGCCACCACAGCCCAAACAACCTAACTACTGCCTCCACGGCAGTTCTTTGGAAACTGAAGTGGAAATGCTAAGAGATTAAAAATGGCCCCTTTAGATGCTAACAGGTTGGGGCTCAAAAGGCCATTGTAATTCTTCCCTTCTTCCCTATTGCCAGCAGAAAGGGCTGACTTTGCCAATGGGTATTATAAAGACTTGTTTTGTTCTTAGAAGGAAAAGTTGAGATGTCCTGAAGAAACCTGTTTTAGAAGTTGAGAATAGAGGTGAGTTTCTGGGAGTTGTCCCTGTCCTTGACGTGAAGGTGGCTTCTGAACTAGTGGGAAGTTAAGGTAAAGGAGATCAGATCAAATGACTCCATTGTTGTCAGAGACAATTTATAGGATACTATAGTTTGGATCTTGAATGTCCCCAAAAGACTCATGTGCCAAAGGTTGGAGCTGGGTGCTGGTGGCTCACATTTGTAATCCTAGCTACTCAGGAGGCTGAGATCTGAGGATCATAGATCGAGCCCAGCTGGGAGAAGACAGCCTGTGAGACTCATCTCAAGTAACTACCAAAAAAGCAGAAGTGGAACTGTGGCTCAAATGCTAGCTTTGAGTGAAAGAAGTCAGGGAACAGCTCCCAGGCTTTTGAGTTCAAGCCCCAGGCCTGGAAGAGAGAAAGAGAAAAAGCGAATGAGAAAGAGAAAGCGGGAGAAGGAGAGACAGACTATTGGTAGGCAATTTTTGGAGGTGGGGACTAGTGAGAAGGAAATTAGGTCATTAGATGTGTGTCCTTAAAGGGGGTATTGAGACTCTGGCTCTTACCCTTTCTCTCTCTTCTTCCTGAGCCCCATGAGGTAAGCATGTTGCTCTATCACATACTCCTGGTTATGATGTGTTGCTTTGCTGCAGGTCCAACTCAACAGGGCCAACTGAAACTATGTGCCTCCCCCAGCCTTTTCTTCTTTTTAAAGTTAATTACCTCAGGCATTTTGTTCCAGTAACAGGAAGCTTTCTACAGGATTATATGGCCAGATAAAGGGCATACTGGAGAAAGTGATGGAGGAAACATGGATTAATGTGAGTGGCCATGCTAAGTCCTTATCTTAAAATTCAATTGTTCTTCCTGATTATGCTCAGAGTCCTCAGGGAGATGGAGAATGCTCAGACTTCTGCTTCGTTTTGTGTGTGTGTTACAGAGATGGACAGATGACCCTAGGTAGAAATGTCTGGAAGAAGTCACAGGCCAGGAATCTGAATTGAATGCTAAATATTTATCCTTTCAACTAATTCCAAAATGGATTCAGCCCCTAACAGATGTCAGTTTAGCAAAGACACACATTTAGTTGGTAGAAGATTTGTGTTCTCATAGAGGATAAACAAAGGTATTGAGATAGGCACCTGTGGCTCATGCCTATAACCCTAGCTACTCAGGAGGCTGAGATCTGAATATTGTAATTTGAAGCCAGCTCAGGCAGGAAAGTCTGTGACTCTCTTACCTTCAATTAACCACCAACCACCCCCCCAAAAAAAAAACCAAAAACTGGAAGCAGAGGTGTGACTTGGGTGGCAGAGTGCTAGCCTTGAACAAAAAAGCTCAGGGACAATGCCCAGGCTGTAAGTTCAAGCCTCAGGACCTACTCACCACACATACACAAACAAACTAAGGTCATAAAATAGTCAGGGTTAAACAATCATAAACAAGGCCATACTAAAGCTACCAGCACAACTATGTTTATTGCAGCATTATTTACCATAGCTAAAATATGGAACCAACCCAGATGCTCCTCAGTAGATGAATGTGATATATATATATAAAAAATGGAATTTTTGTGCTTCCATCAGAAAGAATAATACCACCCCATTTGTTAGGAAATGGAAAATCTTGGAAAAAATGATATTAAGTGAAGTAAGCCAAGCCCAAAGAAACATAGGTCCCATGGCTTCCCTTACTTGCAATAACTAGTGTATGTCTAGCACAAGCAGAAAAGGTCAAAAGCAATGTACATATGACCATATAAGATGTTGCTAATAGAAAGGAACTCCAAGATATGGACACAAGAGGTTTTATCTTTGTTGCTGTTGTGTTTAATGTGCTTTTTTGTTTTTAATGTGCTTTTTTTGTTTTTTTCTTTGGTCGGCCGTGGGGCTTGAACTCTGGGCCTGGGCACTGTCCCTCAGCTCTTCAGCTCAAGGTGAGTGCTCTACTACTTGAGCTACAGCGCCACTTCCGGTTTTCTGGTGGTTTATTGGAGATAGGAGTCTCACGGTCTCTCCTGCCCAGGCTGGCTTTGAACCGCGATCCTCAGATCTCAGCCTCCTGAGTAGCTAGGATTACAGGCGTGAGCCACCAGCGCCTGGCTAATGTGCTTTTTTTGTTTCTTGCATATGTTCTTCCCCCATGGTATAACCCCTGTTTTCACTGTATTTGATTCCAGTGCCCTGTAACTTGTGTATAAATTCTTCTAATTTGGGGAGGGGAAGGGAAATAACAAAATGCTGAAATAAGGATAAAGGTTGACCCATTGTAGCAATGAGATGTACAAGATACTATGTTGCCAGCTAACTTTACAACTTGGGGTGGGGGAGGGAGGAGTTGGGGAGGTGGGGAGGGAATGGATGGTAGGGGAAAAACAAAGGAGGGGCTAACAATGTTCCATAGGAAATATACTCATTACCTTACTCACGTAACTGTAACCCTTTGTACGGTATCCTTACAATAAAAATATATATTAAAAAAAAAGATAGTGAGGGATCAGGATGTCGTTCAAGGTCAAAGCTGGCTCCAACATCACTTAGCAGAACAAATGTCTGCAGGTGGAAAGGTACCTGGGAATGGCTAAGAGCGCAACACCTGGCTCTGCAGGCCCCAGGGTCTCACTAGAGATTGAGCCAGGGCCTTTAGAATAACTACAAACCTGTCCCTAAGAGAAGAGAGTCTGACCTGTCCCCAGCTTGCCTTCCCCAACACAGCACAGGCTCCCAATGCTTTCCTATTCAGATTCCCATGGATCAGGCCCCAGGCCCACTCACTCATCGTACGCTTGTTTTCTGACCTGAGCTTTGTGTAGTCGTTTCAGTTCTTCTTGCTTCACCAACTGCCTTGTTGCCTTTTCCAGCTTCTTCTTTCTTTGGAGTGTCTTCTTCTCCTAGAAAAGAAAAAGTAGGACTGAGAAAAAAAAGAGGCTGAAATTTACAAAACATTATTATATCTTTTGCTCTCCCCCCAAGGTTTCCTAGCCAAGGCTTAGCTTCTAGAATAATGGCAGTTAATTATGGAGATGATCAGTACCTATGCTGTATGAGATATAGATGCTATTAGTTACCTGGGGCTTTTAAGCACTGGATATGAGCTATAAATAAGAAATTGGATTTAAAAATTTACTGAATTTAATTGTTTATTTAAGTAGCCACATATGGCTAGTAGATGTGGGGATGGGAAGCTGGTGTGTGTGTGTGTGTGTGTGTGTGTGTGTGTGTTCAGTTGTGTTTCACTGTGAGAAATTATACTTCACATAGGTGCTACTACCATACTGCCCAAGGATGCTAGGCTTGGGAGAAACAGGCAGGCAAGCAAACAGGCCAAGGCAGGAGAAACACAAGTATGAGGCCAGTCTGGGCTACACAATGAGCTTGAGATAAGGTTGGACTATATCATGAAACCCTGTCCACAAAACAAAAACAAACAAAATTGTGATGGCTAGCCTGGTGCTTTGGCAATCCTCAACAACTGGTTGAGCTAATTAAATGCTTATAAATCTGTAAGTGGGAAATAGAGACCTAAAACACCTTCAGCCAGAGCAATGGGGGTCAGAACCACAGTGGCCTGAGACTGTACCTTAAAAACACTTATGTGTCAGGGCTCTGAGGATGCTTCTTATTCTGACTCCATCCTGGAGATATGAGTGCTTTCCTTGGGGAGAGCATCTCACTTTGAGGCCTCAGAACCTCTATAGATCATCAGTGACAACATTCTTCTCATGAGTTTGTTTTCCTAGACCTCTCCTTAGGATCTAGAATACCAATGACTTCATCCTTGGAAAGAACTTTTGGCTCTTGAAACTGAACATATCTCACCTTACACTATCTGTTTCTAGGGGTGACCTGCAGATGGACTGTCAATCACTCTAGAGAGAGTTCCAGGCCTTTTGCACAGGGAATTCTCCATTCTACAGCTGGGATCTTTGGGGAGAGGCAAGGGTAAGAAAGAGGTGATAGGGATCCATAATGGTTGCTATCCAGCGATTATCTAACTCAGTCCACATGGAGAACCACTTCATCCATGTAGCGAGTAACTCTGCACTTCCTCTCACACTACTCTGCATAATAGATGCCAGCACTTACTGAGTTCTATGTGCCAGACACAGAACTAATTACGTCACCTGTATCAGCTCATGTATTCCTCTGATTGCACTTGTTCTACAAATATGGAAATATGAAGGTTAAGTAACTTTCCCAAATGGATACAATTAGTAATTAGTAAAGCCAGGAGTTAAACCCAGGTAGACTGAATCCAGCATCCACATTTACATCTGGTTTCTATTATCTTCTCTCATGGACTTTTACTGCTCAGGCCCATTAAGGACTCTGGTTCTAGTGTTGGTGGTTCATGCCTGTAACCCTAATTACTCAGGAGGCTAAGATCTGAAGATCAAGGTTCAAAGTCAGCCCAGGTAGAGAAGCCAAAAAAAAGACAGAAGTGGAAGTGTGGATCAAGTGATAGAATACCAGCCATTGGAAAAATCCAAGCAAGAGCACCAGATCCTGAGTTCAAGACCTAGTACTAGCTCAAGTGCATATACAGGCACATAAACATGCAGATCCTTCCCCTGTGGTGGGTCCTATAGAATAGGAACATTAATATCTCCCTCTAAACGAGAACCTTCTGGGGGAGGGAGTTACCTCAACAGGATCACGTGGTTTTACCCAGCAGCAAAGATATCACCCTCCGGGAGGGGAGGAAGAAAGTCAATTATTGTCTTTCATTAAACAGATGTTTCACAGAAAGAGAAGGATGCTTTATTAGTGAATGCTCAGGTAGCCTTACCATATACCAGCTCCCATCTTTATATTCTCAGAGATGGTGAGTACAGGGAGGTGAGGAAAAAGGCAACGGCCTAAGCAGAAAAGACAGTAAAGGAAAAGTGGGAAGGTGGAAGAACTAAGGACAGGCAACTACACTGAGGTCTGTTGTCTGAGACTGGGATGGCAGGCAGCATTGGGAAGGGCAAGGCAAAGGGCAGAGGCAGAGAGAACATATCCTGCACAGTTTCCTGTGCAAAGGATCATTTGAGCTGGCGCGGGCTCTGTGCCACTTGGCTGGGGACATAGCTGTATGGGACAGAAGAGACAAAGAAACCATAGGCCAAAAGCCTCTCCCTGTTCCTTCAGGGTGAGCCCTTTGGAAATCATAAATAAGGAATCCTTTTGCCAGACTCCCTTCCTGTAAGAGCAGATCACATTAGAAGCCAAGCAAAGTGGGCATGCATTACTACTGGGCAGCTGAGGTGACAACGAGCTCCACACCAGGCCTACAGGAGCTATTTGTGAGGCTAGATCAACACAACACACACGATTTGTCTGTGTGGAGTATTGAACAAATTGGGCCACATATTCATATTAAACCCACTTTAAGAGGTGTAGTCCAAATGGTTTCAATAAATATGTCTTTTTTTGTTTGTTTCACTTCCCCAATGCGAGTCTTCAAGAAGGTAATCTTGTAAGGAGATAAATCCTGGGGTGTTTCAGATAAAAACAGGGGCTGCCTTCAGAAGCAAGATAGTATGATCTTCATAATGAGACTTGCAAAGCCTGCCTTGGCACGCAATCTTCCTATTGGATGTGTCTAAGGCACCCCGCTTTCTTGTTCTCTATGAGTGGATGTTCAGATGGCTGATGCTGGGGTCTGTCCCATTTGAATACAGAATTAACTTAGGGCACTCAATGAGACAAGGGACAGTAAGAAAATCCCCCGAATAAACGCAACACCACACATAATTCATCTATGGTTGAGTGTGGAACTAATTGGGAAAGGCCACATTTAGAAATGAGAAACCCAGGCTTGTGCTTACTTGCTCTCCCCTCTCTCTTTTCCTCCCTTCCTCCCCCACTCCAGGCCTATCCTGACTTGCTCTAAGCTGGGCCATGGGGAGTTGGAACCCCTGAGTGGCTTGAGGTGATGCCAAAACTCCTAATGCCAGATATGGAAAAGTTGAGTCTGAGTAAATAAATTTGATTCTCCTCTTCCTTCCATAGATCCTCACTGCTCCAAAAAATAAACATTACCAGAGCAGTGAGTTGTTTCTCTGTCTACCTGGGAAGCATTTTAAGTCCAGCCATTCAATCTTCCAGCCATTCAGTCCTTTGTGCCTCTCCAAGTCCCAGTGGGAGAGCTGTAGCTCCAGTGGATCAAGAACAGTGGATTTTAGAAGTAGACATGTGTTTCCACATGGGTGATACACGGACACCACAGACATACGATAGTGCTTGTTTTCATTAGTGGGAGTGAGAGCTGTGTAACATTCTCTAGAATCAAGTGGAGAGTGCTCACCAAGAGCCTCCCAGTGGGCACACGGCTAGTTCCTTCAATAGTAAGTTCCTTGTCTTAATGCAACTGCATGGTTCATTTCATAGTTCTGATTAGAATAAACATAACATTTTCCATGCAATCTGCCCCTTGTGCTTCTTAAATGAAGCTGTGCCTCCCTTGGGGAAATACACATCTGCTTGTTTTAATTTTTCAATGGTTTTGCTTGTTGGGCTACATATTAAACCCACTTTAAGAGCTGCAGTCACCAAATGGTTTCAATAAACATGTCTTTTTGTTTGTTTGTTTGTTTCCCTTCCCCAATGTGAGTCTTTAAGAAGGTATTCTTGTAAGGAGATAAATAAACATCCTACAGTGTTTCAGATAAAAAGAGGGGCTGCCTTCAGAAGCAAGATAGCATAATGAGATTTGCAGAGCCTGTCTCAACACTGACTCTGGATGGGGAATGGTCCCAATGGGCTAATGCCCTGTTTGATTTGTCAAGTGATATTACCTTTAACCTTGAGGAAAGCTGGGGATCGAGCTCTTCATCTGCAGAGGAGGAGGTGATGGAAGAGGGAGAAGAAGCTGCTTCTGTCACCTGAGCTCTTACAGGGGTATGCTTGGAGCCTGGAACAAGAACAGAAGAACTTACCATATTGCTAGCTTCATTTCCTGCTTTGTGCCCCAAAGTGGCCACTCCTGGTTCCCCACTCAACCCTATTCCCTTCCTCCTGTCCTTTCCCTCACTGCACTTGTCCGTGCTGGAGGAGGCCTTACCTAAAGGCAACTGAAAAATCTGGCCTCCATGTTAATTACATTTCTGGATCCCTGCCAAGAGCTTTGCAGTTCTCCTCACATTAAAAAGAAGGTATTATACAGAAATCAATTAATTCCTTAAACACCCTTTACATGGTGTGTTGCTTACAATGCATTCGGAGACAAAATCTATGATTAAAATGTGTGTCTGAACTTAGCTGAGTTACCTAACTGCTCGTGTGAGGTTTGTACTGCAGAGTAATTGAATGCAAAAAAAAAAAAAAGTCAGAGCCAGCTCTTAAACAAATCACCCTTCTGCGGCTCCCAGCATCTGGCACCCATTTTTACTACATGACATCTGCTCAGTGTAAAAGAGCTGGCGTCAGAATGTCTGGTCATAGAAAAAAAATCCCAAATGTAATCAGAAGCAAAAGGACTCTAAGCCTAAGGTTTTATCACATAGTCTCATGCAACATAAATATTTCATTAATTATGGCTAAACAAATGCCACTTTTATTTTCCCAACTTGTAGATATTATCACATCATTGAAGTGATGATTCAAATGCCAGGAAAAGCAGTGGAAGATAGGGATACCCCCTCCCCAAATGCAGGGACCACGTGGAAGGTGAAGTGGAGGGGTCATGCCAACTGCTGCACACGGGAGCAACCTGCCAGTGTGAGCCAAAAATCCCTTTGTGACCGGCTGGGAAGCAGGTGTGAGAGGGGTTCCAGGTGCCACAGGAGCTTTTCATTCTTCTCAGCAAGAACATCTGTGCCTTTGCATTCTAACCTGATGCAAGGTCAGCGACTAATATGTGCATTCACCCACTCTGGGCACTGAATTTCAGAACCACCTAGGTACTCTGGGATGGTAAACTGACCCTCCATGCTGGTGGCAGCTTGTGTCTGCACAGAAATATGTACTGGGTGGGGAGGAAGGAGGAGAAGCAATTCCAAGTCAGCGAACGTTCTCTCCAGCCTGCCTTCTCCTCCCCATAATTTTCAACTATTCACCCCAGTGGGAGAGGCCAAGTTTTACAAAATCAGGGTAATTTTAACCTCCAGGAACACATTTACATATGCTGTTATTCAAAGGAAAATAATGCAAAACATGTATATAATAAAAACAGCCTCTCTAGGGAGGCAGTTTTCTGTTTTCCACTTTAATTTGCCAGATGGGAAAGCTCAGGTAAAGACAGACGCGGGAGCAGCAGTAGAGCAGGAGGAGACTGGAGGAGGCAGCATCAGTGGTGAGCAGAAATTGCTTCCCAGTTCTGGCCACTAAATTACTGCAGAGGGTTTAAGTCACTGAGAATTCACTTAAGCGTGAGAGTGTGAGGAGTTGACTTTACTTCCTTCTGTTTCTCAGGTTCATGATTTCCAGTTCATGGCACTGGTGCAGAAGAATAATAAAATCAATGCAAAGTGCCAAACAGTGTGTGGTACATTGGAGGGGCTTCAATAAATGCTGCTTTCATCATAGTCCTCATCACCATCACCAACATCAGCATCACCATCATCCTCATTACCATCATGACCATCATCACCATAGCCATCACCATCATCATCACTAATCTAAATAATACTACAGTATTACTAAAATTACCCATTTAATCTTTTACAAACCTAAAGTTGAAACCTTTTCTCATTTGCCACAACGATTTTAATTGAATTTAATCTTGAAATGGGGGGAAATGCTTGCATATTCGGTGTATTTCTTCAACCTCTGGTAAGAAGAAAGTGATGAGGTTGCCTCTTACTCTTTTCCTGCTTTGTCATTTCAATCACAGAACTAACCATTCTGGGGTTCATTTTTACAGTTTTTAAAATGCTGGAGCATTGTTCCACTCTTGTTATTAGAGTGACTGATTTTGGAATTGAGTTTCTGCCACAGAGCACTAGACATCAGGACAAAGTATCTGAAGCATCTGTTTTCAGTTACAGTACAAAAGGCAGGAGAGAACTCTCTCAAAGGCCAGGACAGAAGAGAGCCAGGAAAGCCCTACAATCATAACTTTCTGCCCAGAGGCCTTTTTGGGACCACTGTGGAGGTAGGAGGACCCTAAACAGATTCAATGAGTTGAAAAGGAAGTTCCGAGTTTAGGTAGACTGAGGTAGCTGGAATGTGTGTGGGTAGAACACTGGAGAGGAAGAAGTTGTAGGAGAATAAAAAGAATCTCAGAAATAAGCATAGAAGTCTTCTTTGCATCTACTGCTTAGCAGTAAGCTATACATATACAGAGAGAAACTCTACAAAGTTGGTCAGATAACTGCTGGAAAGTTGTAGGCTGAATAGTCTGTAATTTTTTTTAACTGAATGGGAGATATTTCAAGTTCTTCTAGCTAGGGTAGCATAGACATTGGAAGCATTAGAAATGACAGAATAGTCTAATTTTAACAGGGATAGATTAGCTCTAGACTAGAGGGTATTGTGGATGTGCTTCAGTAAAATTTTAAACTAAGCATTTGTAGGAACAGAGTGAGGAGCAAGTTACTTTACTATGAACTAAACATTCCTTACTCTCCATTTAACATTCTTTAAATAATAAAAACATTTAGAAACTCTACAGTATAATATTCATAGTCTATATGATGGCTAACAATGACTAGCTAGGTATTAACAAAAAAAGCAGGATGAAACCAGACAATCAAGAGAAAAATCAGTCAACAGAAATAACGCCCAAAATAACAGCACAAAGGAATTAGTAGATAAAAGATAAAAATTAGTATTGGCTTTTGGGTGGTTAATTGGAAAAATTTCACAGACTTTTCCATGTGTGCAAGCTTTGAACTGTTATCCTCGGAACTCAGCCTCCTGGGTAGCTAGGATTAACTACCAAAAAGTTGGAAGTGGAGATGTGGCTCAAGTGGTAGAGCATTAACCTTGAGAACAAAAGCTCAAGGATAGCATCCAGGCCTTGAGTTCAAGCCCCAGAATTGTCTCCATACCACCACTCCCAGCCAAAGAAAATTAGCCAGGTCTTTAAACATTTTTAGAGATTTTAAACATAGTTGTTTTTAGCAGATACTAGAACAATCAGACAAAAAATTCAGTAAGGATGTAGAAGATATGAACAAACATTATTTGTAAATTTGACCTCATGATGAGTGTGTATAAAATAACACACCCAATAATTGGAGAATATATATTCTTTTCCGTACAGATAGAACATTTAGTAAATAGGTGATAGGCCAAGCTATAAACCAGGTATTAAAAAATCTCAAATGATTAAAATCATGCATATTATATCATCTGACAATAGAAGCATTAAGCTAGAAATTAAACAACAAATAAAAGCTGGAAGTGGAGCTGTGGCTCAAGTGGTAGAGTGCTAGCTTTGAGCATAAAAGCTCAAGGACAGCACCCAGGTCCTGAATTCAAGCCCTAGGACTGGCACACACAAAAAACAAAGAAACAGGACAATCAAACAAAAAAAAGTACAGATTTTTGAGCTGGGTGTAGGAGGCTCATGCTTGTAACCCTAGCTACTCAGGAGGCTGAGACCTGGGGATTACGGTTTGAAGCCAGCCTGTGCAGAAAGTTCATGAGGCCCTTATCTCCAATTAACCACAAAAGAGCCAGAAGTAGAGCTATGGCTCAAGTGATAAAGTGCTAGCCTTGAGCACAAAAAGCTTAAGGATCGCACTTAGACCCCACATTCAAGCTCTAGGACTGGAACACACATAAAAGTATAGGCTATTAATATAAATAATCTGCCACCCCTTTTTCCTTATTTTAAAGAATTAAATAATAACATAGTTTCTGACAGTTAAGATCAAATACCTAGGATGATCCTAGATCCCCATTAGAGAACTTGTCCAAAGCCAAGGTTGTCAAAAGAATTTTCTGTTAGTCAATTCCTGATAACTCCTTCCCCCTGGTTCCTAGGATATTTACTACCAAGGGCTTGCAATTGTGAATCTGTCTTCTGGGCCTTTTAGCTCTGTGTGTGTCTCCTACTACTCACCACTACCTCTCTCAAGGAGTTGAAGGCCCTTCCATTAAGATGCACTCATCATCAGGAAAGAGAGGGCCACTCTCTCTCAGGGTCTGTAGGAAGGCAGAACTCTTCATTAATTGCCAGCTAAAGACACAGCTGGCTTAGTCTGCTGACCAGACCTGTGTAATATTTCTGCTTCCCTGACTCTATTGAGCTCCTTGCTTCCTCTTTCATAATCCCTACAAAGGCTTTAGGCACTTTGGTGGAAATCAGAGTAGAATCCAGTTCACACTGGATCCTCTTGTACACTCCTGACTAAAATCTGTCCTTGCCACTATAACTGCTGTCTGGCTTCATTTATTTTGGTAATAGCCAATAGCAAGATATGTATGAGAATTCACAAGAAAACAACAAAAAACAATATCAGTGCCCAGTAGCAAAATGCAGAAATAATGAAACATCCACAATGGGCAGAGATAGCAATGAGAAAAAACAACACATCTATACAAAATAACACAGATAATCCATCTATATAATGTTTAATGAAAGAAGCCAGGCATGAAAGAGTTTATGCTGGTATTGGTTTTTCTACTGTGGGACAAATTACTAGAACATTTTATAGTGTTATCATAATGCTTTTTTAAAATTTAATCTTACAGATCTTTAGGCCAGAAGTCCAGTCATGAGCCAACTAGATGTATAACAAGTGATCAGAAAAGCATGGGCTTTTCCTCACTTGGCCTGCAAATACTCAAAAGGTAGCTAAAAGCAGGAAGAAAGTTTAGCATCACTGAATCCATCTTGTATCTGCATTCTTTGTGCTGAGCCATTCTCTACTAAAGTCACTTTACAAATTAATCACCTTAAAATCCAAGGAGGACAGGACCAATGTAACTAGAGTCTAAACTGGTCCCTAGGCAACAATGGCCAAATTGCTCCCTTCAAGTAATGACCATGACAACAATTTCTTCAGAACCACTCCATAATGATCAACCAGGCCACATTTTGCCTGACACTGTTTAATAACTATACATACCTTTCTCCCTCTGTCCCAATTCTTTTCTCTATTTAAACCTAAAGCTCATGTCTATACCCCAAAGATGGGCCAAAGTATTTACTCTGCTTCTCACCACATTGCCATCCCACACTAAATCTTTATCTGCCCTCATCATGACTCATCTCTGTACTTGACGTATGTAAGGGTGAGTGGCCAAACTTGGCATGTGGGAACCCCCAGAGTCAGATTTGCTGTCTAGACCTCTAGTTACTTGATTATATTTGCTTGTGGGGTCTCCCAAGGCTCACCTCAAGGTCCTGATGGGGGTGCAGTTCACATCTGTCACTAAGGGTCTTCTTTCAATTCAGTTTGTTGGCACTACCTAGGTGACCTGGTGGAATTTTTACTCTGCTTGTTTTTAAGGACAGATTGTCTGAAGGCAACACATTCCTTCTTGGGTTGCAGTAGATCTAAAATAGCTGCCAGAGTAACTACTACACAATGTCCAACATCCTTATAATCTTTCCTGTATGGTGAATGACACCTCTTTCTCCCCCCCACAATCCCCCCACCATGACAGAGGACAGTTGCCAAAAGCAAGGAAGAACGAAAGAAAGAAGGAACAGATGTAGGGCCCAATTCCTGGGAAATTCTTCACAATTCCCACAGAAGACACAACTATTCCTTCCTTTCATTAGCCCCTCTCTTCCCTTCATTTCTTTCACACCATGCTCATAACTTCTTCACCTCCAAGGGGTATGGAAGTTGGTTTTCAAGCTAGACTGCCACTTCTCCCATTCATTGGCCACTAAATACACTTGAACTTTCAGTGTTCAGTCTTTGTTTTTTGTTTTCAGTTTTGAGATGCTTAAAGGAAAAAAGATATCCCTTTTGGGGTAAGTGCGGGGCCCAGGTCTGCTTTCTTTCTGGCTGTCAGTTGCAGGCCAGTGTTAGCTTTTAGAAGCCTTCCTTGTCCATGGTCCTCTCACAACAGCAGAATCATGACTCTCAGGCTTAGAATCTAATCTCTGACTTCAGGAAGTCCTTGTTAAGTGCTCATTCCCTTGTTAAGGGCTCGTCTGAATCAATGAGGCCTACACACGATGTTCTCCCTTTTGATTAACGCAGAGTCAATTGGTTTGGCACTTGATTATATTTGCGAAGCCCCTAACCTAATCACAGGATGGAGTGAACTTTATCATATTTTCATTGTCAGTATATTCTAGTATATGAGTTTATACAGGGCAAGTATGCTAGGGTGACCCTCTTAGAATTCTGTCCACCACAAAATTGAACCATTTGATTTTTAAAGTAAACAAATGAACAAACCAATCAACCCCTAAAGCTGAACATGGTGGTTCATGCATATATTCCCAGTCCTTAGGAGGCAGAGGCAGGATGACTGAGAGTTTGAGGCTATGCTAGGCTACATAGTGAAACCTTGTCTCAAATTTTTTTAATCAGTTGTAGACTTGATGTTTGCAGATTAAAGTTTGCCACAATGCAATAAGAACTTTAAACCAACATAAAAATATGTTCCTAGGCTGGGAGCTGATGGCTCATGCCTGCAGTGGTCGCTACTTGGGATGTTGACATCCAGAGGATTGTAAATCAAGGCCATTCCAGGCAGAAAAGTTTATGAGACCCTTTCTCAACCCATATCTAGGCATGACAGGATGTATCTATCATCCCAAGCTATATGGGAGGCTGGGATTGGGAGGATCATCATTCCAGTTAGCCCAGACAGAATAGTCTGAGAGAGTCCATCTTCACAGAGGGTATGGATGCATGGCACATGCCTGTGACTTCAGTCATTATAAGAAGCAGATCATGGCTCAGGTGCATAAATGGGTAGAAAGAGAATCTCTATCATAAAAATAGCCAGTAAAAAACAAGACTGGCCAAAAAATATGTTCTTTACCTGATGCAATCCCTCTGTACATCACCTTTATGATAACAATTAAAAATTAATCAACAGAAAGCCAGAAGTGAAACTGTGGCTCATGTAGTAGAGCACTAGTTTTATGACAAAGCTCAGGGACACTGCCTAGGTCCTGAGGTTAAGCCTCAAGACTGGCAGACTCACACAAACCTCCTCCTAAAACAAATAAACAAACAAAAAATAACCTAAGAAAACAGATAACAGGCATGGGGTGACAAAATGTTCACTTAGAGGTAATTTGTTATTGGCAACAGTATGAATGTACTAAGTGTCACTGGATTGTTAACTTTAAAGGGGACTAACTTTATGTTATATAACTTTTATCTCAATGAAATCAAAGATATTGATGGAAAAAAAGGGATGGAAGCACAGCTCAATGATGAGAACATTAGCTTGGAAAGCTCAAGGTCCTGAATTCAAATCCTAGTACCACTAAAAAAAAGGTTCTCTGGGGGGGGGAGGGGAGAGGCTGGGAAGTGATGTGAAGGGTAAACAAAGGAGGAGGCTGCAACGCTTGATAAGAAATGTACTCATTATCTTGCCCATGTAATTGTAACCCCTCTGTACAGTATTTTCACAATAAAATAGAATTTGTATCAAAAAAAAGGTTCTCAGGATGCCTTTCCTCCATTACATGTAAGAATAATAACTAGCATTATCATAATTGTTATAACATAATTGTTTGTATAAAATGGGTAAAATCATTTAGCACCCCAAATTGCTTAAATACTATTAGTTTATGTATACCCTTAGTTTACTTGAAAAGTTACATGTAAAAAAAAGCTAAATTTTAGCCTAGTTCTTATTAAAGCTATTGTAAGTTTGAGGTACATTCATTTTATTTTATTTTTTTTGTCGGTCGTGGTGCTTGAACTCTGGGCCTGGGCACTGTCCCTCAGCTCTTTAGCTCAAGGCGAGTGCTCTACCACTTGAGCTACAGTGCCACTTCCTGAGGTACATTCATTTGAATAAGAAGGATACCATTTACTCTCTCCATTGCATGGAAGGGCACACATACAAGTTAAAAGTTAAATTTGAATATAAACAGTGTGTGTGTGTGTGTGTGTGTGTGTGTGTGTGTGTGTATGTACATAGTTACTAGTATGGTAAGGGACCAAGAACTAAAAGGAGACTGATGAATCTTATCAGATAGGTTTGTTAAAATCTTTAAAACATCCTTAGGAGACAGCTTAGAACATTTGAAAGAAATGTAATACTTGTAATGTTCTATGCCAAGAAAGTCACAGTATTTCATAATGAATTAGGAATGCAAAATAAAATCAGAAAAAAATCTTTATCCCAACTTACTGTAATCAGCACAAATAAGTCATGTAAATAAATATGATATAAACTGTAGGCCAATTTTACCTATGAATTTAATGCAAGAATCTTAATCAAAGAACACCAAACAGAATTAGAAAGTTCATTAAAATAGTAAGACATCTCATCAAAATATCTATTTCACAAATTCAAGGATGGTTCAATATCAGTAAATCTCTGTCTTTCTTTCTTTCTTTTTTTTTTTTGTCCATTGTGGGGCCTGAACTCAGGGCCTAGCTGTCCCTGAGCTCAGGGCTTAGGTTTCCCTGAGCTTTTTCACTAAGGACCAGTGCTTTACCACTCTGGGCCACAGTGCCACTTTCTAACATCAGTAAATGTACAACACTAATGATAAACAAATATCAAACATCTCAAAAGGTGCTTAAAAGTTATTGAACAAATTTTATATCCATATGTGATTAAAATGCTCTTATTATAAATATAATAGGGCATATAGCCATTTCTTTAAAGTGATAAACTATATCTGAGCTAATCCAGAAGCCTGCACCACATTTAAATTGGAAAATCCTAGCAGCTGTCTCATTAAGATGAGAATTATGATAAGGAAATTAAATATAATAAGGAAGCAATTTTTTTACTGCTTTTATTTCATATTGTCCTAGAGACTCTGGAAACAAAGAAGTCAATGAAACAAAATAAATTTAAATTCAAAAGGAGTAAGTAGAATTATTATTTGCAGAAATTATAAATGCACATATGGGGATAATCAGGGGAGCTCACTGACAACTCCTACAAACAAGAAGAATGCAGTACAACCAACAGGTACAAAATCACTCTCAAAAGGCAATAACTTCCATATATACAAACAAAAGAAAGAAACTAGAAAACATCTTGCTTATAATAGCAACAAAATTAAGAAAAATGCAAGACTGAAATGATGAAACTTAATAATGCAAGACTAACATGATGAAAAGTTTTAACTAGTTCTAAGGATCACAAAAAAAGAAATGAGCCCAATGCCAGTGATATGTGCCTAAAATCATAGCTATTTAGGAGGTTGAGATTTGAGGATTAAGGTTCAAAATCAACTTAAGCAAACAAATCTATGAGATTCTTATTTCCAATTAACTAGTAAAAAGCCAGAAATGGAGCTGTGTGTCAAGTGGTAGAGTACCAGTACATGAACAAAAAAGCTAAGCAAGAGTTTGAGGCCTTGAATTCAAGCCCCAGTACTAGCACCAAACAAGAAAAACAAGAAAGCAAGAAAGCAAGGAAGAAAAGAAGGAAGGAAGGGAGAGACCAAGAGAGAAAGAGAGAGAGAAAGAGAGAGAAAGAAAGAAAGAAAGAAAGGGAGAAAGAGAGGGAGAAAGAGAGGGAGAAAGAAAGAGAGGAAGAAAGAAAGAGAGGGAGAAAGAGAAAGAAAGAAAAAAGGAATGAAGGAAGAGAGAAATAGAGAAAAAGAAAGGAAGAAAAGAAAGGAGGGAAGAGAAAGAGAAAAAGAAAGACAGGGAGAGAGAGGAGGCAAAAAGAGGAAGGAAGGAGGGAGGGAAGGAAGGAGGGAGGGAAGGAAGGAAGGAAGGAAGGGAGGGAGGGAGGAAGGAAGAAGGAAGACAGGAAGGAAGAAATTGTATTATCCACTAAGTTATTTTAGAACAACTAGAACAACCACTGGGACATCTAAAAAATAAGGCTGGGTCCATACCTTATACTTTATTCTAGGCTATTTTTTCCTATAGATATTAAAATGTAAAAATATTAAAACAAGGAAAACTCCCAAAAGAAACTAAAAGAAAATTCTTCTATGAACTTGGAATAAGCTCTTTCTAAACTATTATATAAAATTCAGAAATTAAACTTTTATGCAACAAAACCCTACATAAACAAAGTAGAACACACAAGAAACTGGAAAAAATAATTATGACTCATATTATCACAAAAGGACTGAATTAGCTTTTAAAAGAAATAGTCCTTAGATAGCCTTAAAAAATACAAACAAACCAAGAGGAAGCTGGACCAAGGGCAGAAGCAATAGCTCATAGAAGAAAGAAATATGAATAACTGTAACATAAAAAAGATGCTCAGCTGCTTTATAAAAAGAGAAATGAAATTTAAAACTAAAATTTAAATGATTTTAAAACTAAATTTAAAAATGAAATTTAAACTATTCTAAGATCTACATCTTACTTACCAGATTGGCAAAAATTAAAAAATAGGAAGAACAAAAACAAGCAAAGCAGTTGGGGTGTAGGTTGTGTTGTGCTGGTGCAGAAATGGCAGTTACTCTCAGATACTGGAAGTGTGAGGCAGCAATGGGAGGGAGGACCATTGATGCTATCCATCAAAGCTCCCAACTCACATGTCTTAAGTTCTCAGTGTGTGTGTGTGTGTGTGTGTGTGTGTGTGTGTTGGTACTGGAGCTTGAACTCAGGATCTCCTGCTTTTGCTTAGTTATTTTTTTTTTTCTGCTCAAAGCCATTGCTCTACCACTTGAACCACATAGACTTGTCTGCCTATGCTGTCTTTGAGCTGTGAGCCTCAGATCTCAACCTTCTGAGAAGCTAGGGCATCAGGTATGAGTCGTGGGGGCCTAGCCGTTTTTTTCCTTTTGGACAGGGTCTCTGTATGCAGCTCAGGCTGGTCTCTATCTTGAGATCCTCAGCATCCCAACTTCTGGGATTCCCAGGGTATGTACCATCACACTCAATTATTGTAGCACAGCTTGCAATAACCACAAGTTTGAAGTCATAAACTCTGCAGCATGGGGGACTGACTGCATAAATCATGATATGTCTATGCCATGTAGAATGCTGGACAGTGAAGGAGGAAAGCGCCTGTGTACTAATGGTTGCCACAGTAAAATTTACAGCACAAAAAAGGTATGTACCATTCATGAATACAAGAAGAGTACCATAATGCAAATTTTCTTCTACAGGAATAAATTCTATTTACAAGAACTAGTGATAATGTCTACTATTAGGGTTAAAGTCTAGATGGCCACTGACAATAAAGGGAGGGAGGACTTTTAAATTTTGTGCCCTTCCCCCTTTAAAAATTTGAGACAGGGTCTCATTATGTAGCTCTGCGTCCCATGTTCTGGCGTCATAAATGAGCACCACCAAACCTTGTTATACCTTTTAATTTAAAATCAGGTGAATGTCTTGATTATCAAAAATGCATAACACATAGCTAAGGCTGGTGTCTCATGCTTGTAATCTTAGCTACTCAGAAAGCTGAGTTCTAGAAAAATCACAGTTTAAAGCCAGCCTGGGCCTAAACCTCTGTGAGACTCCATTTCCAATTAACCAGCAAAAAGTATGATGAATATGTGATAGGATTCTAGCCTTGAAAAGGCAAGCTGAATAAAGGCAGGATCCTGAGTTTGAGCCCTGGTACTGGCAAAGAAAAAGGAAAAGCACACAACACACTAAATTTTATGACATAATTTTAAAGAAGTAGTTGTATTGCAACCTGTACTTATTCCAAATTTGGCTGCAAATGAAATTTCTTGTTACTTTATATGGATGTTTGAGTGGGGTAAGGATTCAAAAGAAAAATGACTTATTTGAAACTAAAGTTCCCAAACAAAAGTTAAATAAGAAAATAAACAAGTTTAAAAAAATTAAAGAAAATCAGAATTATTCAATGCTAGAAACAGTATGAAAGTTGGAACTGTCTCTAAGAGAATATTCTGAGCCACAAGCTATTGGCTCATGTCTGTAATCCTAGCCACTCAGGAGGCCAAGATCTGAGGATCATGATTCAAAGCCAGCCTGGGCAGGAAAGTCTGTGAGACTTATCTCCAATTAACTACCAGAAAATGAGATGTGGTGCTGTAGCTCAAAGTGGTAGATGCTATCCTTGAGCAAAAGAGCTCAGGGACAGTGCCCAGGCCCTAAGTTTAAGTCCTATGACAGAGAAAGAGAGAGAGAGGAGAGGGAGGAGAGGGAAGAGAGGGAGGAGAGGGAGGAGAGGGAGGAGAGGGAGGAGAGGGAGGAGAGGCAGAAAGGGGAGAGAGGGAGAGAGGGACACGTGGAGGGAAGGAAAGGGAGAGAATGAGAATGTTCTGAACCTTTGACAAGGTAGAGAAGCCACAGCATGGTTTGCTTTTTATTAGGTGCTTCCATACTCTTGGACGATTCTGTCATTTTGATATATTAATTTCAGAATTTAATTTAAAATTTCATTATATCCTATTTGCATTAACTGTCCATTTAAACTAGGTAAAATAAGGGGATGGATGGGATTAGGAGAGATGGGAGAGAACAATGAAAGGGGTGTCATTGTTCCAGATGGATTGTATTCATAAACTGACTTGTTGAATTGAAACTCCTTTGTAAAATCATTTAAAGATGACAATGAAAAGGTCTATTCAATATCATATATAAAATGAAAAAAATATATGCATATATAATTTATTCGTGTAGGGCTGGGAAGGTGGCTCAGTGGTAGAGCGCTTGTCTTGCATGCTTGAAGCCCTGGGTTTGATTCCTCAGCACCACATAAGCAAAAAGAAAAAAGCCGGAAGTGGCGCTGTGGCTCAAGTGGTAGAACGCTAGCCTTGAGCTGGAGAGCTGAGGGACAGCACCCAGGCCCAGAGTTCAGGCACAAGACTGGACTCCCCCCAAAAAATAATTTATTCATGTATCTATACCTATATACAAAGCAATCGGAAATGGTTCATTAAATGACAACACATCCATAAGATAGACAGCTCTATGAAATCACACACATGTAAGCTATGAGGCAAGTGACACCATGGTGTATACAACTAATTGGTAAATAAGGTTGAGAGTTAAAAGATTCAAAATTTGGTGTACAACTTAGTAAGAAAATATAGTCAATGAAGCATAGAATTATAGTTGATTCATTATGTTTGATAGTATACTTTCACATGAAGATTGTTTTTTCCCCCTAAAGCGTTCAACTTCTAGCTTTCCTACTTTTGTTATAATGAATTTGAATGGAAGGTGCCTTCTTTATTAAATACAGGAAAGATCAGGGATCTGCCCCCAGTCTGACTGTATGTTTTCACTAGGGAAGAGTCACTTACTTGCATCTCCAGCTACAGAAGGAAGATGGGCAGTCTGCCCTAGGGAGGTGTTCCTGAGAGGCTGTGCCAGTTTCTCCAGGGATGAGACACTGTCTCCAGGTGTTCCTTTCCCCTGGGGTCTGCTAAAGAGGTCCCCGATGTCCTTTCTTTGTCTGGATTCTCGGAGGAAACTCTCAAACGATTTGTCTTTGTTTCTGAGAGAGGAAAAAAGTGGGATTCCTGCCTTGGGAATCCTAGCAGCACCTGGTAAGGTCTCTTGCAAACTCACTTTCTCCAGGAGCGTGGGGACGTCTTCAATTTTGCTGTAGGGGAAGGCTGTGGGGATGGGAAACGTCTTGGATGGCCGATTGGGCAGACTGTGCGTACGCAGGGTGGTGTCAGGACGGCTGAGATCCATGGAGTGGGCATTGTTGGCCGTTGGGGAGCTCAGGGAGAAGAAAGCTGAGGCCCTTCTTGCCATGTGTCTCCCTGGGGACTGTAGGTCCCCATCTTTATTGGAACTGGGTTTCCGAAGGCTGAATGAACGAGTGCAAGCTTGTGGTTGGGATGTGGACATGGTTTTTGATTCTGCCTTGGCCCAGCCCTTCTTTCCACCGTCAGAGTTGGGGAACAGGGACCTTCGGATGGCATTAGCTATGAGCCGCAGGGGGGACTTGGGTGGAGGCATGCTTCGCTCCCCTGGAGCCCGTACAGCAGGGGTCCGCATCTGGTCCTGGGACTCTGGCTGGCAGGGTTGTGTCTCTTTCCCTGCCCGAGGGAGGGTGAGTGGGCGGATGGGTTTCAGAACTCGGCCTCTCTTGCCACCTTCCTGGGAGATGTGCTCCCTTGCCTTAAGGCCCGCGCTTTCACAGTTGGAGTCATTCCAATCCAGTAACATGGTCTTCTGCTCCGGAGTGAGGACTAACTTCTTCATGCCGGACTTGCCTTCCTCTACCAGCTCTGATCCACCCTCTTGTCCTCGCTTGGGTCCGTTACTCACTTCGGCTGGGTCTTCTCCAGCCCTGAGAGATAGCTTTTGGTCTGGTAAGCTCTTATCCTTCTTCCTGATGGGGTGTGAGTCTTGGTGGATGCTTTTGGTACCTCCAAGAGGGGCTTTTGCTTCCTGGCACCTCTCAGAAGCCACCACTGCAGGGCTTTCGAGGTTGTCTGCACCTGGACTCACCAAGCAGTATTCTGCCCGCTCCAGCACTGGGCCATGAGGCAGATACAGGGGAAATTCTTTAGGGACGCCTTGGGCTTTGGTTCGCCTCAGATAGATTGAAGTAGGGATGCAGTGACCCCTGGAGACCTGTGATTGGGGGTTATGAGCTGTCACCTAGAAAGGATACACAGAAATGGTTATTATTGTTGTTGTTGTTATTGTTATTTTGTCAGCCATGGGGCTTGAACTCAGGGCTTAGGCACTGTCTCTAGTTTGTTTGCTCAAGGCTAGCTCTTTACCACTTTGAGCCACAGCTCCACTTCTGGTTTTCTGGTGGTTAATTGGATATAAGAGTCTCATGGGTTTTCCTGCCCAGGCAGCCTTTGAACTGTGATCTTAAGATCTCAAGCCTCCTGAGTAGCTAGGATTACAAATGTGAGCCACCAACACCTGGCAACAATTATTTTCTTTTTAATTCCAGCATTCATATATTCATGGGGGAAGGCAAATGTCAATTTATATCCCCACTTCCTTTCTCAAGATTGCAGATACTCAAACCCCAAAAGAATTTTAACAAGACTATTATCCTGGGCTGCTCTTCATTCTAAGTAGCTACTTTGTACTTGCTGAGGTTGCTTGTACCCCCAAAGCCAGACTCATCAAAGGCCATTCTGGGCTTTAGATGAGGTAAGGAGGAAGCTAGTGGGGAGTGAAAGGCTTGGCTGCTGCTCCTCACAAGCTCCTGGGCCAGTGACATAGGGCTGGTAGGCCTCTGAAGATGGCCAGGTACATACAGGAAGTTAAGACCTCCCGTGGCTGGCTAAAATGTGGTCCCTTCCACATGGCACCTGTAATAGTGACCTCCTCCAACAATTAAGAAACACCAGCCTTTCCCTTACAGTCTGTTAAGGTCAGGAGCAATAGTTACCCTTCTGGGCTGGAGATGCAGTGGCAAAAGGATGGTCTTTAGAACCTGCAAATGCCCCTTCTAATGTCACACATTACATCATTAAGAAATGAGTCATTTCCTGCAAGCAAGAACTCCTTTGACAAAGGAAAGACATAAGTAGACTCTGGAAGGAGTGGTTATTCTGGTGTCAAATGGAGCAGGTTATAGGAGTTTCATAAGAGCACATGTATTTCCTATTTTGAGCCTTCTATTTCCCAGAGCCTAGAACAGGTCTGGCAGGTAATAGGGGCTTGATATACACACACAAAGAAATAAAGAGCCCAAGTGTGCAAATCAATAATGCCATTTTCTATTCAAGGTCCTTTGGTGCTACCTGAGGCACCTTTGCTTTTTGAGCCTGTCAATCCTCAGCTCCTCAACCCTCTCTGCGAGTTTCTCAAGGACAAAGCATGACACAGCACAGGACCTGGAACAGAGCCCATGTCCCAAAATATTGCTGAAGGGGTCATCATGTCCTCTGGGGTGACTGAGAAGGAACAGGAGCAGGATGAACTTTCATGAGAGGTCCAGGTGAAGAAGGCCCAGTGGGCCTCCGTAGAGCTTCTCCCCAGCAGAGGGGACTGAGGAGTACTAAGAATGCAGAGTCAAGCATGGAAGGTGGGAGGAGCGCAGGAAGCTCACCTTCCTAGCACCTGTACTGGGCCCTCAGGGACACTTACCTGAGGTGAGGAGGAATCCTCTGCAGTGTGCCCAAAGATACTAGCTGAAGACGAAGACAAAGATGGCAGAGAAGATGACAGGGAAGACCATGAAGAAGATTGAAGCGGAGAAGTTTCCTTTGGAGGTGACAAAGGTCTTTTGTCTGTTGGCGTCAAATCTATTAAGGAAAAATATATCCTCCATTACAGATCTGTTGTCGCCTGACTTTTTATTGTAATAGGTGAAGAGATACAACCTTTGGGAGAAAGGATGGCTCTGGGTGAGAAATCAAACACCATAGTGTTAGGGACTCCCATGGGAAAGCTCTTGAGGTGACCTGGAGACCCCAAAGTGCATCCTGGAAATGAACATCTACCCCTAAAGTCTCCCTAAAGCCCTTGTGGTCAGGCACTGGGGCGGCATTAAATCTCTCCATCAATAAACCATCCGAAATTTCTTCCCACAAGATGCCTGGCCATTAGCTGTGGGCACAGGCAGGACAGACATTTATTGCTAATGAAATGTGCACTACAGGGCTCGAAGACAAGGTGGTTAGCACACCATTCGAAGGGAACCCACCAAAGGGAGGTTATAAGCATACAAATCATTGGAAGCACATGGGGTGGGATTTCTGCCAAGCTCTTGTTGGTCAGGGAACAAACAGGAAGCAGTGTATCAGCTCTGAGATGCCTGAGAAAGGAGGTGTGGTTGAGCCCTGGGGAGAAGCCATTTCTGAAGCTCTGGGCAGCTAAAATCATCTGGTCCCAGGAGAGCAGCTTCTAAGATCAATCAAGCTCACATGTGTTCTCGCTTCCTGTCCCTCTCTCCCTCCTCCCTTGAATATGGTAACCTTAAAACTTGAAATTCCAACTATTTTATATCCAGATTTCATTGAGAATCAGAACAAATGCCATGTAGTCTTTCAAATCTGCTCACTCAATTTTTTTGGGGGGGGGCAGCACTAGAGTTTGAACTCAGAGACTGTGTTCTACCATTTGAACCATGCCTTGTCCTTTTCTGCTCTTTTAGTTATTTTTCAGTAGTGTCTTATGCTTTTGATGAACCACCCTCAGCCCACAATTCTCCTACCTATTCCTCTGGCATAAGAGTGTGCCACTAATGCTTCCTTTTTTAAAAAAAATCCTGGGGTGGTATTAAATCTTGATCCTCCTGATCAAGAGGCATGGGCCTCCATGTCTGGCTCAGCCTCAGTCCACTCAGCTCAGCCATGAACCATTGCAGGACCTAGCAGATACTTCCCAGGACCCTGGAACCTCACTAGCCCTCTCTTATCTGACATCTCTATTGACTAATTCCAGCTGCTCAGCTGACCCACCCTGCAGATTTGATCTTACTTCTTAGCTCTGAGTGAGAGGCTCATCTTTAGGGACCCATGGGGGCCCGGCCAAACCCAAGTGTCCCACTCAAGAAGCATTCTGTTGAGTCTTGTTCTTTCAAGGATGGATTTTCAATAAGCTTATTCCTATTCTCCTAATGCACAAACACAAACATGTCAAATGGTGCTCCCCAGACAAAGGGTCTGAAAAAGAAAAAAGGCTACTGCCTGCATATGGTCTGCAGATCCCAAATGGAAGTCTCCAGAGAAAAGGTGACTTCGGGGACAGAGCTGATGGGAAGGTGGACATGAAAGAGCTGCTGAGAGAAAGGCCGCCGGCTGCAGGAGCTGAGGTGGGGGAGGCACTGGTCCACAGCCCGACTCCGGCACCCTGTCTCAGCCCACAATGAGATGGTTCGAGCCTAAAAAGGCAAAAGTTGTGAGTCAGTTGTTGACTTGCTTCCTGCCCTCAGTTCACCAAATTCCTGCCAAATTCCTTCTCCCTCTCTTCCTCGCCCCCTCACTCTTCTTTCCCTGCCACCTCCAGAATCCAACTCCTTGTCTCAAAATTCGTCTTGGCTCTGCTGACTTTTTTTGTTTTTTCCCTTTGAGGCATCTCAGGACACACTGGGACACAACTCTAATAGAAGAGTCAAAGGTCATGACCTTTGACTCCCTCTCCTTTTTCATATCCCTAGCCCCATCCTGGCTGTGGACTCTGTCCCTGTCTCTTCTGTCTTTCTGTCAGTCTGTCTTTCTCTCTCTCTCTGTGGGCTCTGTCTCTGTCTCTTCTGTCTGTCTGTCGGTCTCTCTTTCTGCATACAAGGTTATCCTCTATCTTAGATAGAACTTCCAGAAGGCTTGTGGAGATGGAAGAAGCAGAGCTCCTGCCCAGGTCAAGCAGGGTCTCTGGACTGCCATTCAAGCCATGGCTTGGAAGATGACACAGGCTGGAGAGAAAAGGTGAGCCATGATGGGAAATCTCTCCTCCTTGAAGCTGGCTCTGTCTTTGAATTCCCTCAGAAGATGGTAAAGAGGTCCTGAGGCACCAAGCTCTTCACGCTCACATCAGCTGCTGGATGCTGGGCAAGTTAATAACTCTTTTATGTCCTCATTACGAAAAAGAAAAGGAAGGCCTATTGCTCTTCATGTGGAATAAGGGAATAAAAGAGGACCCAAAGAAGCACCCAGCAGTACAGACACAAAGGCTACAAGTTCTGAATCCCATTGCCTTCCCTTTCTCTGATGCACATAAGCAATGTATAATAAAGACACTGCTGAACTTACCCTATGCCAGAAGGAGTTGCACACCTACCCCAGCAGGGGTTCTTAACTCGTGGGCCTAGAAACTCCTCAGCTCCTACCTTAGATCCTCACCTCCAGCTCTTTATTGGAAACCTAGGTATGGCCCAGATAGGCTACCATGTCCTAGGCAGGGGACTTGACTAGGTGCTACTGATCCTCATGGTCCCTTTGTACAAGGGATAGATGAGCCGGGGATTGAGACCTCAGGCTCTCTTGAGTCCATTGCTTGTGCTCTGCTGTCTTGGGCCCTCTGGCAATGCCAGCTTTTACCCTGGATTCTAGTGGCTACAATGATCAGGGAGAGATGGTGTACTATATTCTGTTTCTGACCAGAGGACAAGTCCTGCCCACTGTGGTTTCCATTTGGACAAAAGGAAGATAACTAGAAAGATGGCTCTGGTGGCTTGCCACTCTGGTGATTTTTCACAACAGATTCCAAGGTGCAGCTTCCCAGAGTTTGAAGCTTTACAAGACTCATTTCCTCTCAAAGTCTTGGAATGCCCTCTAGAGGCAACAGACTGCAAGCCTAACACTCATGTACTCCATTTGCAGCTTGTTGCAGTTCATTCATCCATCCAACAATCAAGCATTCCCCTGGACCAGATCATGTTAGACACCAGAAATAATTCAGACTTTAGCTCTTCCTGCACACGAATTTCCTGAACATTTAAGAATCAGCATCAAGACTCCTGACAACCAAAGACTGAGGTTCCCTAGATCCATCTTCAAACTTTGTCTCTGTAGCACATTTCTCTGTCCTGAGACTTCTCCAGTGTTCCAATTCTATGGTGAGGGTATCCATCAGTCTCCTGACTTTCAAATCAGTCTGTAGTTCCCTGGGGGGAATGATAGAATGATAGAGCCTCTCATGCACCTTCTGGGAATTGGATCCCAGTGACTCAGGAGGGGCTGGGGCAGGGAGTGAGAAGAGGGTGCATAAGAAACCATTCTCTCCACCATTCTCTCATTCTCACTGCCTGGGGGTTGCCACATGATCCAAGTGTCATTTTAGACTGTCCCCAGATGAAGTAGACTGATCAGGTATGCAGCTCTGCTCCAGCTCCAAGGGTGGCCCCTGTCCCAGCATGGCACAGATAGGGGTGGTGGGTCTGGAGGCTGCTGAAGGATGACTCACTGGCCAGAAGTTAGCAGTGACTCAGAAGGAAGGAAAAGCAGGGCTGCCTTTCAACTGCAGCAACATTGCTGAGTCCTTCCCAGAACTGCTTGTCCCCCAGTGAGGCTGGAGAGGGAGTGTGGGCACAGAGGCAGAAAGAAGCCTCAGGCTCATGGGCTCCAAGAGTGGGGTGGGGGAATTCCTCCGTGTCACTGTGTGTATAGTGCCTGAGCCACTGAAAATCATCAGCGTTGCTCTTCTCTGGGTCCAAGCCTGCTCAGATAAAGAGAACTGGCTGGGTGCTGGTATCCCAGGCCTGTAATCCTAAGGAGCCTAAGACCTGAGGAGTGCAGGTTGAAGAGAGCTCAGGCAGACAAATCCATGAGACTCTTATGTCCATTTAACTAGCAAAAGGGCCAGAAGTAAGATGTGGCTCCAGGAGCAGAGTGTCAGCCTTAAGCTAAAAAGTCCAAGAGCTTGAGGCTCTGAGTCAAGCTCTAGGACCAACACACACACACACACACACACACACACACACGAAAACTGTGTGCCTGTATGCGTCCATGAGTGCATATGTTTCTTCCTTCATTGCTTTGCCTGCAATAGCAAGGAGCCAAAAAGTTGAGGCCCTGATCCTAAAATCAAATCATGTTGAGTCCCTGGGCCTCAGTTTCCTCATGTAGGTTTCTAAAAACCTTGGCGCTCAAGAGTGCTAAGGCCCCTTCTGAGCGAAACTGAGGAATCTTAAACTCCAAAGATTCCAGAGTAGGGGAGGAGAAAGAAGTGCATAGGAGGGGCCTAGTCCTTGAAGACTGCTTCCTCTAGTAGTCAGCAATGGAAATCAAGCCAAGCATAGGTTTTTCTCCCTTGCATCCTGGAGGCGTGCTGGAGAAGCAGCAGGTAAGGAGAAGAGCCGGCTCTGGACCGAGCCGGAGGATTACTGCCACTCTCCCCACTAGGCAGCTCGAGACTCACTGGACTGGAATGCTCGTCTCCAGTTTTGGTATTTGCTGGGAGTTGAAGATTGGAAGCTATTGGCCCGTTGCAGACCTGTGGAAAAAAACAGAAAGGTACAGATAAGATAGCGATGGAGGAGACTTAAATGTATGGAATAAAGATGGATTTCCCTCTACAGCCTATTTACCAAAAGTGAGTAGATGAAAGATTGTAGTTGACTTAGTTGCTTTTTCCCTAGGAAGAGGTGTACCTCCCTGTCCCCTGCACACTCTACATTTCATCCCTTCATTTATCAGATATTTACAGAGGTCCTGCTTTAAGACAGATAACTTTTCTCTGATAGAAAAAGCATGAGACATTATTCTAAGAAGTCACTGGTCAGTAAGGAGCCTCTCATGCACATGTACATATAGATGTAAACATACCTGTGTGTATACTTATACATACATATACCTATATTCACTTATCTGGAAGTAGTTCTTTAAAGCCAAGGCCTCACATCAATGTTCTATATGCATAGTAGAGGAACACTTCAGCTGCTCTGGAATCTACAAGAAGTTCTACCTTCCCTTGCCCTGCAGACCAGTTTTGATTAAGATTCTGGACAGACCATCCTTACAACCCCTCCTGGGCCTGGTTCCAGTGGAGACACTTCCATGGGACACAGTCCACTTCCTATGGAAGACCTTCTACCCAGGTAGGCCTTGACTGAATACTGGGCCTTAGCTGAGCGGAATGAAAATTGCATGCAAGAGAGAGTGGGTCAATGAGTCTTGGCTATTTGAAGTATTAGGGTGGCAGCAAGGTCTACATGCACCCTGGTTCACAAGCATCCTTGATTCTCTCAAGTTCTTTGACAGCCAGAGACCAAGAATGGTCATGATGTGCATGTAAGAAGGGCTTGGAGGCATAGGAGGAAAGAAAACCATGGGGGTGCTCTGGCTGTGGGAGAATGGCATAGGAGAGATTTGAACATAGAAATCCCTGAATCCAAGTCCTGGCCAGTGTGTTCTATATCTTTGTCTCTGTCTCTGCCTCTGCTTCTGTGTTGGTCTGTTTCTCTCTCTGTCTCTTGCTGTCTTTGTCTCTCTCTCTCTCTCTTTTCTCTCTCTAACACTTCTAGATATTCTACTCCCTGTCCTTCTGGGCTGTGGCACAGAGGTGTCTACCACTACCTGGGGCTTTCTTTCTCAGGCTTTCTTTCCTTCAGCTCCTTAGATCTTTGGCTTCTCTCTCTCTTTTACTGCATTTGGAGATGTGTGGTGCCTGCCCTGTCTGGAAGTCCTACAGGCCTGCTCTCCTAATCAAGTCCAGGACCCATAAGGATGGACACCTAGTGTGCCCACTTCCCTGGTACACAAGTGTAGTCCACCAAGCACTGCCAGGTCTCCAGGCCAAACATGCTTCATGATGAACATGTGGGCAGTAATTACACATCTGCATCCTACTGACACCTAATGAAGAAATTGCCTGAGGAAAACCAAAGACTGTTTACAGCTCTGATGGCTTCCCCTTGGCTTTTACTTGGGTAGAATGGAACCTATTAGAAATGCCTAACATCCAAGGAAGATTTCCCATTAGTGATGCTGATGGGGTGCACGTGCACATGTTTTTACCACAAGAATGATAGAGTGGGCAGTAATGATGGGATTTAATAGTTCTCAACAGCATCTGCTTGGTGTGTACTTATTGATTTTGTACTTATTTTATGAGAGTCCTCTTGGAGACCTAAGTATGTGACTGCCTATAAAAGGAGTCAGAGGTCAAGCGCCTTGCCACATGTTGTGGTCCATTTCACTGTCATTACAAAGTAGTTGGTGCCTTCCTCACCCATGCCATTGGATTATCCTGCTATTAAAATTATTGCCAGAAAATAAAGGGATACATACCAATTCTTCTATGCCAGAATATTTCTCCTAAATCGAATTGATTTCTGTTCATGAATGCACAGCTTTCAATCCCCTCCCCCAATTGAATTGTCAGGGCCAAGATTTCAGCTCATTTATCCTCCAAGAAGCTGCCTTGCTCTAATACCCACAGAGTGAGACATGTCCACCTGTTTCAGAGAATCTGGGAGTCTTCACTGAATGCTGACACTGGGCCTTACTCTAGATCCCTAGATTCTGACTCTCTGATGGTGCAGCCTGGGATGTCTTTTAAACAGGATTTATATAAACCACTGAATAAATCTAGCTAGCTGGGTGCTGGTGGCTCACACCTGTAATCTTAGCTATTCAGGAGGCTGAGATCTGAGGATCACAGTTCAAAGCCAGCCCAGGCAGAAAAGTCCTTGTGAGACTCTTATTTCCCATTAACCACTGAAAAACTGGAAGTGGAGTCATCGCTCAAAGTGGTAGAGCTCTAGCTTTGAGCAAAAGAGCTCAGGGACAGCACCCAGGCCCTGAGTTCAAACCCTACAATGACAAAATATTGCCATGGTTTAGATTTTTAATACCCTTCAAAGGCCCAGGTATCCGACGCTTCTTTTTGTTTCCCGGCTGCTATGAGGTGGGCAGTGTCCTCTGCAAAGTGCTTCTGCCATGACATGTCTCACCACAGGCAATGGGACCAAGCAACCAAAAACTGAAACCATGAGCCAAAGTAAACCTTTCCTCAGTACAAATTGTTTGTGTCAGGCATTTCTGTCACAGTGACAGAATGCTAATGGAAGTTGTTTTTGGATTTTTTTTTTTTGTCAGTCCCGGGGCCTGAACTCTGGGCCTGGGCACTGTCCCTCAGCTCTTCAGCGCAAAGCTAGTGCTCTACCACTTGAGCCACAGTACCACTTCTGCCTTTTTTTTTCTGTTTATGTGGTGCTGAGGAATCAAACGCAGGGTTGCATGCATGCAAGGCAAGTACTCTACCACTGAGCCACCTTCCCAGCCCTGGAAGGTTTTCTTGGGGGAAGGGCTCTATGGATTCGGGACTATTGTAAGTTCTATTTCACACCTTCAGCTTGGATAGGTTCTATGTTAAAGAAATTTGAAGATGTAAAATACTCCTTGACATGCCAAGCAGCCCTCAAAACCACTTGTCAATAGTGGTAAAATGTACATAAGATAAAAAATACCATTTAAATAATTTTTATATCTGTCAGTGTATTATAAAAGAATACATCAGGATAGGGAGGGGGCACTTCTCTTGGTTTCCCCTATTGGCTATTGTGAACAATGTTGCTAAGGTCATGGTACTGAGGTTTGAACTCAGGGCTTTGCACTTGCTAGGTAGGGGAGGATACACCCCTTGAGCTATACCTATAGCCCAAATCAATAGTTTTACACTCAACAAGGTGGTATACTTCTCAATGATCAAAACATGATTGATGAAGACTAAATCAACAAAGGACTGTATGAAAGTCATGTCTATTGCCTTCTCTGGCTGCTCTATATTTCATTCTAGAATTAAACTGAACTATCATAAGAAACAAAATGCTTTGGCCAAGCGGCTTTATTTCTCAAGCCCAAGCCAGTGACTGAGTTAGGTTTAGGTATCATGTCCTTCCATGCCAGCAGTGGGGGCTTGGTAAAACTATGGCTGAAGTTTCTGAGAAGCCATTGTTTAAGAACTTCTGTAATATATCTCTCATACCTATTTGATGTGAGATAGGAACATTCTACAGAGCTAATCATTAAGTTGTTCCTGCCTTGAGATATAAAACAATGTACTTTTTGGCTCTTGAACAATAAAAAATAATAATTATCTGAATTTTCTTCCTAATATTTGCTGTTCTGTTCAGAAATAGAGCTTGCCTCTCCGACAGCTGCCTCTCCTAAACTAGCTTTGTGTATCTTGATTCTGAGGCTCCTGCTTTTATAAATACAGGCTTTTATATAGACAGGCAGATTTATATTTTCCTTGAAAGTCTTCTGAAGTTCCATGGCGATTGAGGAGAGGGAGAGAAGAAATGGAGGGAAAAGATCCAAGGTAGGAAGATTTGGTGTCTACTTAAGAAAGCTGGATCCCAGGAAGGTGGGAGGCATCTCAAGTGTTAGCAGTAACTAAAGGCAGGCTGGATGTCCTGGGCATTAGCCAGTATACTGTTCACTGCCTGTGCTGAGCTCTCTAGATAGCACTACAAAATGGTAATTAAAAATGTATTTTGAGGATGGTTTGTCATTTAGCAAAAAGGTTCACATGGAAGGGTAAATTCAGAGATTTCAGGATTTAGAAATAAGTATCAGTGTGAGTTCTTTCTAGTCTCATTCTTGGTCTTGGGAAACCATCAATTGTGAGAGAGCATAGCGGAGATTCTGCCTTTGGCCACCAGAGGACAGTGCAGGACAAATTCAGCACCAGCTCTCACAGAGCAGCTAAGGCTACTGGTCCTGAAGGTGGCAAGTTTCTGTTACCCTGCTTCTTCCCCGGCTCTCTCAGAATCATTCACGTATCAGCCCATTTGGTCACAAGTTGCCACTCCAGGCCATCTTTACTAAAATAATCGGGGCTGCTAAAGACAGCCCCTCCTAAGTAGGCCTGAGTTTAGGGGATGGAGGCACTGGGCACTGGGCCACAGCGTTCGCCACGAACCCTTGGGAGAGACCACCATTTATTTTTCTCCCCCACCAAGGGGGCTTCATGCTACAGACCTTGGGATGGGAAAATCCCAAGTGCTCAGTGCGCATGCTCGCATTGCTATGCACGCACTGTGCATCCCATAACCCCTTACACCAGGAATGCTTTCTGAAGCATGTGCCCAGGTGGACTCAGGAGGCCATGCAGCCCAGAGGTGCATGCTGTCCAACAGCAGCCAAACCCCTCAGGGCTGATGGGGTGCTGGAGGGGCCTCTGAGGCCATGTCAGCACAGGAGGCAGGAGGGAGGCTGCAGTGTGTGAGGGATCTGAACTCTGCAGTCCTGTGCTATCCAACAGATGACCAGACTGTTCTCTGGCCCTCCCACTTAGGGCTCTGAAGCTCCATGGACAAGGATGCCAGGCCTGAGCTCCTATTCCTCAATCGGACTTAACACCTCACTTCCCATAGGTTCTAGCCCTGCCTTTGAGCCCGAGGGTAAGCTCTTTGTCACCTGGGCCTCCATGAGAGGAAGCTGACCCAGTACCATGTACAGAGGACCCTCTACTCACCATGCACCATATGTGGCTCCTCAGGGTACTGGGGGGGCATGGTCTTGGTCAGAGGCTCCCTCAGGGAGATGTGCCGGGTTACGGGCTTTGGTAGAGGTGGTGATTCTGGCTGCGGGGGTCTCTTAGCACAGGCCTTTGCACTGGGGTCCTTGTTGTTCTCCCATTCAGACTCTGAGTCAGAGCTGGTAGGAGGAAGGAGGGTGAGAAGGATGAACCAGCAACCTGGACCCACCCCAGCACACACCCACATTGCCCTACCCATTCCTAGCTCTTGCTAGGCAAACCCAGTGGCTTCATTACCTCAATGTCTAGTTCTAGCCTTGAACTTTGCTCTGGGCTCAATTATGTCGTCCTAAATTGCCTTGTTGAAGTACTAGCCCTCAGCACACCCAAGTGTGTGGCCACGTATAAGCATTTACCCAGAAGTGGGTATGCGATGTGGGTATAACCAATTGGAGGCTTCACTGAAATCCTGATCCATGGATGTTCATTCATGATATGTGCACAGGCCTTTGGCAGCCAGGAGTCCTGCATGTAGAACTGTTCTGCCTAATTGAGGCCTGATGACTGTGACCTAGGGCAGGTACCTTTCCATCTCTGGGCCTTGTCTTTCCATCTTGGTGATTTCAAGGTAGCAGTTCTCACAGAGACTGGTACATCAGACTCACCTGTGGGATTTGCCAAGATGCCTGTTCTCATGCATTTTACTATAAGTAATGGAGTAATGGAGATGTTTGAACTAGCTGTCTATGACCACTGTCTCCATTTTCTCCCACCCTTTCTCAGTTTATTCTATTGATTGGACCTCTACCTCAGCCTCTGACATCCTTCCTTCAGGGTGTCCCATGGGCTAGGTAAGTGCTATGACCATTGAGCCACACTGCCAGAGCCCCACATAACCTTCTGTCCTTCTTCCCTCCCTGTGTGCCCACATAACCATCTTCAGTTCCTTCCGGCGCACTCCCACTGAGGCCTGTGCCCTAGCTGCCGTCACTCTTTGGATTCCCTTTGTCCGTCTGCTGTCCCTTCTTGTCAATCTATTTCAGCTTCACTGTCACCTCTTCAGAGGTCTACAAAAACGGTTGCCCTTGTTCCCCTGGGGTCTCTACCTCTTTGCAAGGGGACTTTGAGTTTGTCCCATAAAGGATGGAACATACTTCCTGCCCCTTCAATCTGGGCTTGCTGTGTGTATGTGGTAGCCAGACCCAATGGAGAGTTCTTAGCCCAGTTTCCAGAGGCTCCTGACTAGCCTTCAGTCACCCCAGCTGACAGTGAGCTAGGCTCCAGATGCAAAACTCAGCTGTGTGAACCCACCACAGCCAGGACTGCCCAGTGGGGCTTGCTCAGCACCCGGCCCACTTTTAGGGTGCAATGAATGGGGTAAACTCACTCTGAGGCTAGTTTAGCTCTCAGCCTTACTGTGGGCTTTGATAACTGACTCAGAGGCCTTTCCACACCCAGTATAAGGTAGCTGACCTGTCACTCCAAAAACCCTTCACCTTAGTTCTCTACCTAGCACATGTGTGCTGCTTTCTTATTAAATGTTTCCCTGTTCACTGGTTGGTTACCTAATTTGATGAAAGGTATGACAATTATGACCTTGTCTGTGTGGGTCACTGATGTATGCTCTGTATAGTAATAGCAGCCCATACTTGTTGACTGACTTCCTGACTTCAGTGTACCTGGAGGAAGCCAGATATATGCATTTCTATCAGCTGTTCTGGGTAGGGATCGGATTTGAGGTGAGAATGTTACTCTCAGAATACTGGTCAGCATCAGAGCCTCATTTCCCAGGCTCCTCCTGGCACCCCCATCATACCCTGGGATAGTCCACACCCATCTCCATACCCCTCACTGCATTCTACAAGACCCATTGCCTCCTGGGAGAAGACAGTAGAGCCAGGGCCTTTCCCTCCTCTGAGAAAAGCATAACTGCAAAGCCTTAGAGTGCTTATGATGTCCTAGGTATTGTTCTGCACACTTCAAATATGTTATTTTTTTGTTCCTTACAACTAGACACTAGGATAGTCCCCCATTTGACAGATAAGGAAACTGAGGCCCCCCTTAGCAGTTATGTCCAGAAAAGATAAGATCTCAAATCCTGCCCTATCCCCAGCCTGATGTTTTCCCCAGCCTGGGCATACCTGCTGTCCTCGCTGGTGACCAGGACACGCACAGCCAGCAAGTCCTGCCCAGCTGCGTCCTCCCCAGGGCTGATTCTCACTGAGGTCCACTCAGAGGGCAGTGGGGAAGTGGCTTCACCTGGCACATGACTGGGCTGGGGCTCAGGGACACTCTTCGGCTTCTTGGGGGAAATGGGTTCATCTGCTGAGAGAACAGGGTCTAGGGAGACGATGGAACTAATGGTCCCAGTGGTGTCACCTCTTTGCTGTTCCCCAGCATGTTGGGAAGGCATTGTCCCAGTTCCCTTACCCGACTTGCTTTTGCATCCCCTAGAAAACTCTCATCCCCAAACCCTTGCATGCAGGGCTCCCTGTAAAATGTTGGCTGAATGTTGAATGTCACCTTCTTAGTGAGCCAACCCTGCCCTTCCTGTGGGAAACCACTGTCCGTATACTCAGCATGCCACATCTCTTTATTTCTACCCATCATCCATCTTACCATCGAGTAAACAATGCAATTTCCTTTTTTAGTTTGATCACTTTCTCCCTCCTCCTAGCACTAGAACATTTCCAGTGATCCCCCCCTTTTCCTTTGATGATAGAAATATACTTGGTAAACAGCCAATGTTCAATAAATGCCTGTTGAGTGGACAAATGAATGTGTGAATCCCAGTGCCATCCTGGCTACTAACTAGGTGAGCAGGCCTTTCTCACAGTGGACATCATTTTTCTTTGTAAAAATCCAGCTCCTTCTCACCTCTCATTCCCAAATAAAGGTCCTTCCCTCCCCTTTTCTATGTCCTTCATTTCACCAGCTGGATTTCTATCAGTATTTAAACATGCTGTTTGAAGAGCCCCCTTTTAACTCCAGCCCAGCCTATCCATTCATTGTTCTTCCTCCTTCACAGCCAATCTGGAAGACATCCCTGATGAAGACCCTTTCTTTTATCTCTTTTATGAGCCCTTAAAACCCAGAACCTGCTTGTTGCTAATTCACAGGGTTTTGGGGTCTTCTTACAATCCTTGATCCTTGACTCCTCCCTGCTCCAAGGGACTCTCTTTCTCTCTCTGATGGTCCATTTCAGATGTTCTGTCTTCCCTGTCTCCACACCTCCCCTGGTACCCACTCCTCTTTTTCCCTCATTTGTTCTTTCTAGGAGATTCTACCAACTCTTTTACTGTATTGCTCACCTGTGAAGACAGTTCAGGAGAGTCTGATTCTGATGTAACATCCCTCATGTTTTAAAATATTCTAAGATCAAACAAAGCACATCTGCAGACAGATTCAACTAACGGGCTGATAGTTTGTAACCATGGTAACCATGGTGTTTGTACGAACTTGCTTGTGTGCATGTGTCTACACTACTGTATTAGCTGGACTGTGAATGGGAGGATGTTTAAAGAATATTCTGGATGCCTTGGTGTTGGTGGTGGTAGCAATAAGAGCAGTGGTAGCTTACTTTTAGTGAGTGTTACTATATATCAAGAATTTGAGCATTCTTTCCACGTGAAGTCTATTAAATGGGGAAAGCATTGTTGTTAGTCCCATATTCCTGCTGTGAAAATGAAAGCATAGAGAGATTAAGACATTAACGCGGGGCACTGGAACCTCACATCTGTAACCCTAGCTACTCAGGATACTGACATCTGAGGCTTGTGGTTCAAAGCAAGCCTAGGAAAGAAAGTACACGAGACTCCAATTAATCACCAGAAAACCAGAAGTGGAGCTGTGGGTCAAAGTGGTAGAGTGCTAGCCTTGAGCAAGAGAGCTCAGGGACAGTGCCCAAGCCCTGAATTCTGTAACTGACCAAAAAAAGAAAAAAACAGAAGAAGACACCAGCATACAGTGTGTGTGTGTGTGTGTGTGTGTGTGTGTGTGTGTGTGTGTGTGTGTGTGTGTGTATACACATATGTAGATAGATAGATAGTCCCTCAAGGGATCAGGACAATCTGTATGTCTGTAAGCAAGTAGGAATCATGAGTTTGGGCTGGGAGTTCATTCTTTTCCTGAAACAGTCACTCTGTCCCTTGACTCTGCAGTCCTCACTAGTAGAGCAAGGTGGGGCACACATACTCCTAGCCTATTGACAAAAGGCTTGACTGCTAGATTTGCATTGGGCCACTGGAAATTCATGGTTGTGAGGTATGAGCAGAGGGTTAAGTGGACTTTCTGGCTTGGTGTGTCCTTCATGATCCTGCATAGGTTATCATAAAAGAATGTTCTAGATGGATGCTGATCCTTTAGTGTGGATGCTAGGTTGAGGGTGCACAAAACAAACCTAGAGCCAACTTATGGCCCCAAGAGCCAAGGTCACCCTTGCAGCCTGCAGCACAGCCACCCAGTCAGACCTGACCCTGTATCTTGGTACATATGTGTGTTGGTGTGTATTTGAGAGCCAGGTGATCAATACATGCATACCCAACAGGTGCTACTGTGCCTTGCCCTGATCCTGGCCTTTGCTGTGGTTGGGAGACAAATCAGAGAATCAGCCTTCTGCCTTCCAGCCATGCCTCCAAGGATTTCCTTCTGCCTCATAAAGGAGATAAGACACATTCATAGATGCTACATTTAATGATGTTAAACATCCACTAGTGGTACAGGGAAGATGTGGGAGGAAGGACATGTATGACTTCCATGCACTAGACTCTGGGATCAAAGGTGCTGGGTTTGAGGATGGACAGGATTTGATGGTAAGAAACAGAGAGGTGATGATCCAAGATGTGGTTTGGGGAGCAAAAGCAAGCCAGGAAGTAATGTTTGTTTGCATTGGGAACCAAAATTAAGTCCATGTGATTAGAGGGTAAGAAGATCCATCCACTCTGAGGCAGAGTACAAGGTAAAAGGATGTTTGAGGGCCCGATGAGGAGTAGAGGGTGATGGAGAGCAGGGCAGCCTGAAGTACATGGTGACCACAGGTGTTTGAGGTGAGCTGAGCTAGGCTGTGGTAGCACCAGACCAAACATTCAGGGTCACCTGGGTCCTGCTTCTCTCTTTTTCTTCCAAAGAGTTTTGGCTTTGGCAGCAGGGATGAGTGATCCAGCAGAGAAAAGCCCTGCCTGCTTCCTGGGCTCTGGGAGGGGTGAAGGGCACAGCTGAGGGATGGTCCCTCAGTTTTACTGGGCAGGAACCATATCCTTTCAGCAGGGCCTGGACATCAGGGGAGGGAAAAGGGCAGGGACTATGGACAAGAAGCTTCTGCTTTCTCTGGACCATTCCCCCACCCCTTTGCCAGCTGGTTGAAGCAGCAGCCCAAAGAAAGACATGCCCTTCTTTATGTTCTGCCCCAGGATGCCTGGCTCAGGCTATTGCTGCTCTCTGGGGTTAAGAGCTACTCCAGTAGGAAACTTGTCAGGTTTAAGATTCTGCATCCAATCACCCCTTTTCATTCCCCAGAAGGGCCTTTCCCATATACATATGCCGTTATGAGAAGACTTGGGGTGCTGGAAAAGTCACAGAAAATAACTAATGACAAGATAGCACCAGCTTATCACTGAGTGCCCATCATCCCCATCATCCCACCCACCATAAAAGGACAGCAGTACCACTGCACCAGGGGAAAGAAATGCACCTGGAGAGTTTGTAGCCAGGGCAGTAACAGAACAGTAATATCTGTGGCCTACCCCAAGGTTAGGGACCTGTGGATGCTCATTTGTACCATGTGCCTACACAACCACCCTCTTACTTCCTCCCCCAGGCCAGATGCTTTGTTTTATGGACTCTACTGGAAGTGATTGGTGCCAAGAGAGAATTCTGGGGGTACCAGCAGTTGGAGTGAGCAGGATCTCTACCTCCCTGAGTGGTGGCTGGGCTCCTGGTGGGAAGCAGGTCTACTTAGAACCCAGCACCTTACTACTCCTCTTTGGTACTCTGGCCAGATGCCTGCTCCCTGGTGATAGAGGACACTTTAAGAATTCTAGCACTAGGGTCATTATCACCTCAAGCTTGAGTAAGGCAGAGCCAGCAGCCAGCAATGGCTAAGTTCAAAGGCTGTTCCCTGGTCAGGCCCTGTGCAGGGTTGGGGAGGACTTATGCTACCCTGGTTAAATGGCTGAAGGTGATTCTGTTTTCTGTCCCAGGTTGGAGACTCTTCCACTTGCCCCAGAACCCAGAGAGATAAGAAAGCAACAACTCCTCTCACAAATTCTTAGTAACTACAATTTTAGTTTTTTGGTCTGGTCGTGGGGCCTGAACTCTGGGCCTGGGCACTGTCCCTCAGCTCTTCAGCTCAAGGCTAGCACTCTACCACTTGAGCCACAGCGCCACTTCTGGCTTTTTTCTTTTTGCTTCTGTGGTGCTGAGGAATCGAACCCAGGGCCTCATGCATGCAAGGCAAGCGCTCTACCACTGAGCCACCTCCCCAGCCCAGTAACTACATTTTATAAGAAGAGAAACTGAGGCCCAGAGGATTCATGTAAGTTCCTAATTGCTACAATCACTTCTGGCTCTAGTCTTAGAGAGAGGCCCTATGTTGTCCTGTTCTCTCTGTAGACAAAGTTGAGAAAGAAAGCTAGGGAGCTAAGTGTAAGAAGATCCAGCTAGGAAAACAGAACTCAAGCCAGTGTTCAACAGAGGAAAGTTGAAACAGGCACAGGGCCACGGTGACATTGGAAGTACTGAACAGACAGGGATTATGAGATGACCTAGATAGAAGTCATGGAAGTTACTGGTGAGTGGGACAAGGGGATGGGATGGGCCACCAGAGCCTAGAAGCCAAGACTACTGCTGCTGTGCAGGAAGATGGGAGGAGGATTCTGGCTTCTAGATTTCAACTTCAATTTCCCACTGATGTGTCTAATGGTCAAATCTAGCCAGAAGCCCATCACAAAGGACCCTGGGAAATGTAGTTTTCAAGGATTTTATCTTTCTAATAGGGAGCAGAGCAGGGGAAGGGAGGACAGTGTTTTTGAGCACAAATAGGTAGATAGATGCCTTGGTTACTACAGGTGGACTGTAACAAGTAAGGGGACAGACAAAGGAGGGCCCTGGGAAAGGACCTGAGTGGGCAGTCCTTTCCACTGCCAGGGGATGTCACAATTGCTCAGAGAGGGAGGTTTTGTCCACACCAGTACCAAAGTCCTTTGCGGGGCATGGCCTTTTAAAAATAAAGTCTCATGTGTCAAAGACAGAGCTGCTGCCATCCTGGGGCTTCTGTGAGTGACTCCTTAGGATGAGGCATCCAGAGTTGTTCAGGGCAGAAATGCTTTGATGGGTAGTACTGGGTCTCTGGGCTTTCCTCTACCCTGAGGCCCCAAGGTCCTGCCTTGCTGAGCCCTTGCTGGGTATCCCAGGCCA